AAAAAAACAATAAAAAAAAAATTAAAAAAAAAAATTGAGACTTTTGATTTCTGGCTAGAAGCGAAGAGGAACTAAACCGGTTGACAAAGAAAGGGGTATCATTAGTTGCATGATTGGTATACTCGGAGAAAAGATTGATGAGCTGCGGTAATTCACTGAATTGATATTTAATTGTTGGCGTTCTAAAGATGATTTCATTTCGAGTCCGGGGTTATTAATTTGAGAAGTTGTAACTATGCACTTATGTGTGATTTGTGAGGCCCTAAGCAAATATTCCACCTACTTGTGTATATCCATCTATGTGCTTGTAGTTCTAAGTTGCTTGGGGACAAGCAACGATTTAAGTTTGGGGAGATTTGATAGGTCGAAAAATGTGCTAGTATTATATATTTAATAGTGTATTTTTATACACTTAATTTATTTGCACGTTTGTATTTTTTTTGACTTATTTATTATTTGGATACATTCATGTACTTTGATATTTCATTATCTATTTTCAGCCATTTGAAGAATATTCGAAGATGTCAACTGACGGGACACGTAGTATCGGATAATCAGCCGTGAAAGAAGAATTTAGGCCCAAAATAAGGTGGCAATTATTTGGGCCCAAATTTGAGAAAACTCACTTGGAACAAAAAGAAAAAAAAGAAAAAAAAAACTCACGCATGCTTTTGGGAAGAATTATTTGGGAATCCTACAGCCACACAAACTCCACGCACGCATCATTTGGAGACAGGAATTATTTGCAAGCGGACGAAAACAAAGAAAAGAACGGAACTTTGGCCAGAAGAAAAAAAATAAAAAGACGCAGCGGCACAAGCAGGCACGTAGAGAGAAAAAGGATCCGGAGCAGACACACGCGGAGGGAAGCCGCACTCGCACACAAGGGGAGAATATTATTTCTTCTCTTTTATCTTTTATTTATTTTTATTAGTACGTTAGACTAGTATTTTTATCCAGTTTGAGGGGATGTTTGAACCCTAACTTTGATTTGTCTATGAATTGAAGGATTTATTTTTATCGTTGATTAATCGAGACGCCGTATTTATTTTTGTTGATGAGTTGATTCATGTTATCTGTGTATAAAGTTTATGAATTATGGTGTTTGATTTAGTCTGGCCAACTACGTTAAATATTCATAGTTTAATTGCTAGATTCGAGACTTTAATCCGTAATTGTTATTGTCTTGTTTCGTTAGTAGTAAACTAGGGGTCGTGCATCTCTAGGGTAGCGTGAACATAAGTTAAATGGTCCGAGCTTTCGCGTCCATTGCTTAGACTGATCTATTTTCCTCATAATTAATGCTGCTAGTGTATTAAATCTAGAGAGCTTATTCTAGGTTGTCCGCTAGTTAGATTTAGTCGAAGAGCTTATTTCGATTAAATATTCAGTAAGGGAAAATTCGGTTAACAGAGCTTGTTGTTAGCTAGAGTTGGTAATTCATTAGCATTATAGAGAAAGCGTCGAAATTAATTAACGGTAGATTTAGATTGGGTGATAACTGAACCGAAAACTGGACTTCTCTTATTTTATTTGATCTCTTATTTTATTTTATTATTTTTATTTTTATTTTTATAAAACCAATCCCCCCACCTTTATTGCTTTTGTAGGTTTAGTTCAATTAATACGAGAATCATCACAATTTAATTCCTGCTCCTCGTGGGATCGACCCTTACTCGCCGCTACTACTAGTTAGTAGAGGTTTGTTAAGGAAAAATTATAAATTTAAATTTGCCGCGTCGCGACGCACGGTCAGCAGCCACTGCATCCATTTTTTTTTTTAACCAATTTATCTGCAGCCTAGCTCAGCCTAATTTTCCTTGATGTTATTTCTTTTAATTTTTCTTGGTCCCATTGTATAGTCATATGTGGTGTACTTGGGAGGTCATTCACATGGAAAAGAAGCCACACAAGCTGATTATGATAGAGTTACTCATTCTCATTATGACTTTCTAGGGTCATTCTTGGGCAGGTACGTAAGTGAAGTTTGTGCAGAAATCATCTATATCTATATATATATATATATATATAGGGGTCGGTTCAAATAAAAACTAGTCCTGGTGTGAGAACCGTGAGAACCGTATTTGATGCTATTTTTAATTGTGTATGATGCTATATTTCATATTAAATGATGCTATCATTTTTACAAACTCTAACAGAAATTGTGTTGCTATTTTAATAAAATTCATCCTAATTAAAAATAGCACCAAGCACAATCAATCATAGCACTACGCACAATTAAAAATAGCGATTCTTACGGTTCTCACACTAAGACTTGGTTCTCATTTGAACCACATCCTATATATATATATATATATATATAAACAACTTGCAATAATTTTATATATATATATATATATATATATATATATATATATATATACTACTTTAAAAGGACGAGTGTTTTTGTAAAAATATGAACTACCTAAAATAACCTTATTTTGACATATTTTTAATGGTAAATTAGTAATACACTAATACATATCTTATTTTATATTTTAAATTAAAAAATAAATTACCTAAAAAATCCTTATTTTAACATATTTTTAATGGCAAATTAGTAATAAACTAATACCCATCATATTTTATATTTTTAATTAATAACTAATACTTAATTAATTAAATACAAATATATGAACAATACATTTCACATCTCTTAAAAATCAAAGACAATATTCACTCTCGCACCATTATTTCTCACAACATGGTTTTCTTCCACATATCTCCCAAATATCAACCCACTATCAACTTAAACAACAACGTTTTGAAAAGATATAGAATTGTTGTTTTCAAAATAAAATCCTGTTTTTAATATAATTTTATACATTCTCTCACAAACTAGAAAAGTTGAACAATTCATTTAGCTACTTCATTATTTAAGAAAAGTAAACTCTTATATTTAGAATTAGAATAGAAATTGCACTTTAGTCTTACAGGATTGAATTTTGATCCCACAAAAATCGTCATCTGTTTGTTTGTTTGTTTGTTTTCCTCAATTTTAGTCACAAACTGAATAAAATTAGCGAATTTTCACTTGACCATTAAATGGTTAATATCAAGGTGAGTAATATTAATTATTAACACTTAAAATATATGAACTTTACATTCAAGAATTAAGTAAAATATATCATGAGATTTTAATTATTATTATTTTCTTTGGATCACTGATTTTCAAGTTGTGTGCTAAATAAAATAACAATATGAAAGTAAAAAAATATCAAATCTGATGAATAACATCAAAAATATAATTAAGTTGTAGGACTTACTAATAAATATAAAAATAAATTATAAATAAAAATTTTATAATTAATAAAAGTAAATATAAAACTTTTAAAACTTATACTTATCGATGTAAATGAATCGAATTGTTTATTTTTTTTAAATTTTTTTGTGCTTATTAGTTCTATGTGTAACTTTTAGGTGATAAATAATAGTTATTTGTACTTTTATCCATGTAGGTTGAAAATTTTAATATTTAAAAAAGATAGTCATTTTAATTTTAAATAACATTTTATTTTCTATTAATTTTTTAATATAATATAAATATCCTATTACAATATAAAATAATAATTATTTTCACTTGATCATTAGATGGTTAATATCAGGGTGAGTAATATTTAATTATTAATACTTGAAATATATGAATTTTACATTCAATAATTAAGTAAAATATATCATCAGATTTTAATTATTATTATTTTATTTGAGCCATAGATTTTCAAGATGTGTGCTCAATAAAAGAACAATATGAAAGTAAAAAATATTAAATATGATGAATAACATTAAATATATAATTATGCTGTAATACTTACTAATAAATATGAAAACAAATAATAAATAAAAATTTTATAATTAAAAGTAAATATATAACTTTTAAAACTTATATTTATAGATGCAAATAAATTGAATTGTTTATTTCTTTTTAATTTTTTGTGCTTATTAGTTCTATGTGTGACTTTTAGGTGATATATAATAGTTATTTGTACTTTTATCCATGTAAGTTGAAAATTTTAATATTTCAAAAAATGATTATTTTAATTTTAAATATTTTTTTATTTGCTATTAGTTTTTTTAATATAATATATATATATATCATATTACAATATAAAATAATAATTATTTTTGTTATTTAATATTTAATACGTAAAAGGTTGTAATTTAATTGAGCAATTAATAGGTAATTTTGAGTTAAAATAGCGAGTGATTTCTAAAAAGTTATATGGACTAAAAAGTTCATGTGTTTTATATATTTTTAATAAAAACAATTGTAAACGCAATTAATTAATAAAAAAACTACAACATAAAAATTTTAATGTTTAAAAGGAAATGCAAAAAATAAAATGCTATATTGCAATGAAAAATCCAACGATAAGGTGTTCCACTAAAAATTTCAAAGGATATTTCATTTGCATAGCTTTCATTGGAAAATATCACTGGCGCCTATTCCAACATAAATCAAATTAAATTGTAATGGAATTTTAGTGGATTTAATGATTCGAATTACCATTATTTAATGTTGTGGAATTTATTTGATTTTTTTTTTTCGGTACATATTTCTACAGTTAGAAAATTTTTCATCGGAAGTGTAAAAAATTCAATGAAAGTTGCTTTGAAAAGCTAATTGCAGTGGTAGATACACACAATTTCATAATATTGAGGGCTCTATTTAGCCAATAGAAAAAATATACCATTAAAATAACATAATATCATTACAATATATAAATTATACTATAATTTGTCATCTTTCTCATCTGTAATACATGTTTAGCAAATCTATACAGTTACAATAAGTTAAATGTATTTAAAAAAAAAACATAATTTTTCTCAACTAAAAATAAGCAAATCATTGAAAATAATATATCTTTTAAAATCTGGTGAACAAAAAATCTATGTTGTAGTATAGATGACTCGACAATATTATTGATTAATTTATAAATTATGACTAATTGATTATAATATTAATGAGAAAATTGTAGTTGTATATATTATAATATTAAGATATACAAATAGATGATATATTAACACATATGACCGAAATAATATATTCTTTAAAAATCTTATGAACAAAAAATCTATGTTGTAGTATAGTTGACTCCACAATAGTGTTGATGAATTTATAAATTATGAATAATTGATTATAATATTAAAGAGAAAACTGTAATTTTATATAATATAATATTAAGATATACAAATAATTGATATATTAACACATATGACCGAAAAAGTTCTTTACATAATATTATGAATTTTTGAGCAAATACAAAAGTTAAAAACATATGAAAGAATAATATAAAATAAAAAATATATATATTAAATTTGACATATGATATTATAAATTACTAAGTTGTAACACGTACTAATAAATATTTAAAAATAATAAATAAATATGTTATGATTAATAAAAGAAAATATAAACTTCTTAAAACTTCTATTTATCGATGCAAACGAGCAGGGTTGATAAATGCTTGTTAATTTTTATACTTATTTATTCTATGTGTAAGTTTTAGGTGATATACAATAGTTATTTTTACCTTTATCCATGTAGGTTAGAAAAAAAAGTATACTATCAAAATAACATAGTGCCATTACAATTTATAAATTATACTTTACATAATTTATCATGTTTCTCACTTGTAATACATTCTAACACATCAGTACAGTCGCAATACGTTAAAATATATTTAATAAAAAAAGGACGATTTTTCTCAATTCAACATAAGAAAATCATTGAAATATTTTTTTACAAAAATTATACACAAAAAATCTATATTGTAGTATTGCTGACTCGACATTACAATTGATGAATTTATAAATTATGAATATATAACTATAATTCCCCTTGCATTAGTTAAAAAAGACATAAAAAATATATTTTGAAGATATAGAAAAAAATATGTTGCAAAAGAGAGATTTGAAACTATCATCAATATGGTTCATTTACATTTAATGAATTCAAAAAGGCATTTTAAAATAGGAATAGAAAAGTCCATATCATATATCAGATAAAAAATTTGAAAACTTGGCGTGAACTAGCGAATCATTATGGTATTATATCGCAGTGATGCAATTATTCATGATAATAACAGGTGTAGATAATCTCAATATATAAATGAATAAACTGGTCTCAACTGCTGGGACGTAATTTTGAGATTTATTATATTTTCTTTAGTTGTAATGCCGCGTTTATGTTATAACATTAATAAAGTTATGAGTTGAATTAAATTATAATTGGTTGAGTTGTAGATTAATTCATAATGTATCTTTATTTCTTTCTTTTAATTTCATTTTTAAAATAGGGAACATGATAAAAATCATGAAAAAATGTTCCCACAATTTTTATTAGATTCCTTACGCTATATGCTTTGGGATGGAGGGATGTGCCGGACCTTTAAATAAACATAGATATGCTCATGATTCCAATAAAATATTTTTTTCTAGAATTATATTGGAAAATTCAAACGGGAGTAATAACATTGAAATATTCGTTAGAATTTTCGATAATTCCCTTGTAGTATATTTTATTTGAAATTTTCGTTGGAATTTTCTCATTTTCTTGTAGTAAAGGTAGGGCTCCAAATTAATAGAAAAATTTGCATTCTATATAATATCGTGTACAACAAATTATTATGAAAGTTGTTGCTAATGATAGAAAATATAACACTTTCAATCTAATTATCATTTAATTTATGGTAATTAATAAAATATTTCAAAACAAACAAGATACATGTAATAGAGATTTTGAAAAGTCAACTTTTATTTAGAGATGAAATTCATTCCCCCTGTAGGGCGATACATCCATGGGTAAGTATCAATTTGTCTATATATAGAGAGAGAGTAATGTAATAGTTTATACAATAATAAAAAATAATCAACAATTTTAATGACACGATTGGTTATTTTGCAGAGATATTCATGTATTGTTAGTAGAAATATAAAGATGATACAACCATGAAGTTTCACTATATGTTGGACTAGAAAATTTTTTTAAGTATTTGAATAAAGTAGACGTTTTGCCAAATATATTAAGATGAATTTTGCAATACAATTGAAACAACAATGCTTCTTATGAGGATTTCAAAACCAAAATGAAAGAGATTGCTATTGAATCGTCTAACATAAACAAATAAAAGAACTAATGCATGTATAATATATATTAGTCATTATTTAGTTATTTAGTATTTTTGTTGGGGTTGTAATATATTATTTAATTATTTTTATATTAGGACATCGTTAAGTTATTTTGGAAAAAACAATTTGTTCTACATTTTGTTTCATTATTGCAATGATATATTTAATAAATTAATTTATTTATTTTACAAAACTTAATCGGCAAAATACAATTACATTATGAGCTCATTTGTTCTATGTTTTATTTCATTCTTGCAATGATATTTTTAATAAATTAATTAATTTATTTTACTAAACTTAATTGGCAAAACATTCACCACCACGTGCATCGCATGTGCACTTTACTAGTAAAGATAAAAATGGAGTTTTGTAGTTCAAATTTCTCATTTTCTTGATAAAAAAATTGATCCATTACTACACTCATTCTTATTTTGTTTTTTATACAGTACGGACAGGGCCAAAGCTGCTATTTTTTACTCTTACACCCGACACATCAATGGATTTGCTGCAACTCTCGAAGAAAATGAAGCACTTCAAATATCCAGTAAGTGGTTTTATCTAATCACATTTTCTTTTTTAACAGACTTGGTTCTATTAACTATGTTCAATGTCTCACATGAACATTCTCAGATCATCCAAACGTTATATCCGTATTCTTGAATAGAGGAAGAAAGTTCCAAACTACGAGGTCGTGGAGTTTTCTCGGTCTCGAAAACGACGACGGAGAAATTCCCGCCTACTCTTTATGGAATAAGTCCAGATTGGGTGAAGATGTCATCATCGCCAATCTTGACACGGGTTTGTTTTCTTATAACCTCTCCAAAGTATCATTTACACTTTGATATGCATATGTTTATTATTTCTGTGTTATATGCAAGGGACTACATTTGCATATATATGATCATAAGTATTGTTTGTTTGAACCAGGCGTGTGGCCAGAATCGAAAAGCTTTAGCGACGAAGGAATAAATGGTCCGATTCCATCAAAGTGGAAAGGAATATGCCAAAATCTATTTGATCATAGCTTTCAATGCAACAGGTTGTGTGTGTGTGTGTGTATATATATATCACAATTTTATTTCATTTCTCTCACCTTCAAAGGCTCACCATAGAGAAGTTTATAGGAAAAATAAAAGATAGACAGAGGCCTATGAGAACAGATTACTCTTGAAACAAATTTATTCAAGCATATATATATGTGTTGATTTTTCGATGCATGAAGGAAATTGATCGGTGCCCGCTACTTCTACAATGGGTACGTCGCGAACGGGGGACACCTCAACTCAAGCGACTACACGCCGCGCGACAATGATGGCCACGGGATCCACACCCTGTCGACAGCTGGCGGCAACTTTGTTCCTGGGGCCAACGTCTTCGGCTACGGCAATGACACCGCCAAGGGTGGGTCCCCCATGGCCCGCGTGGCAGCCTACAAGGTCTGCTGGCCCGTCATAGAAGAAGGAGAGTGCTTTGATGCTGACATCATTGCGGGCTTCGACATGGCAATCCACGATGAAGTTGACGTGATCTCGGTTTCTCTAGGTGGTTCCGGTGGCCAATTTTTTGCAGACGGTGTTGCCATTGGGTCGTTTCACGCAGTGAGTCATGGGATTGTGGTCGTTTGCTCAGCAGGAAATTCGGGGCCAGACCCGGGTACAGTTTCAAATAATGCACCTTGGCCCATCACGGTTGCTGCAAGCACCATGGATCGAACATTTCCTAGCTATTTAATATTAGGGAACAAGAAATACGAGGTATGTGTGTATCTTCTGTTTCTCCCTTAAGTTGATGTGTAATTCTTCATTGAACAATTGAAAGTTGAATAAGAAAATAGACATTTGTGTGATGAAGTAGTTGTTGATGCGCAGGGACAAAGCCTTTCAATAAAATATCTTCCAGAGGGAAAGTTGTTCACCATAATTTATGCCAAATATGCAAATGCCACTAACGCAACAGCGGAACAAGCGTAATTTTTTTTCCTTTGAGGAACATGATTTTACTCGCCTAATTTTGAAAAAGTTGAAATATGAAAAAACTATGGGATGAAATGCAGGGAGTTGTGTGAACCTAATTCTCTGGATGCTAATAAGGTGAGAGGGAAGATCTTGGTTTGTCTAAGGGGAATCACTGCAAGGGTCGACAAGGGCAGGCAAGCCGCCTTAGCTGGTGCTGTGGGAATGGTTTTAGCAAACGATGAGGCCTTTGGGAATGACATCAAAGCCGAAGCTCATGTCTTGCCAGCTACACATATCAGTTACAAAGATGGAGTTGCTCTCTTAACTCAAATGAATAAAACAAGGTGAACAAAATCACATATATAGCTATCTTTCATCACATGCTTCTGTAAAATGACATTGTTAAAAATATTTCAGGCTATGCAGGTCTCCCAAGGCTCGTATCACCAAACCAATAACTCTTTTAGACACAACGCCAGCGCCAGTAATGGCAGCTTTTTCATCGCAAGGGCCAAATCCCGTTATGCCGGAAATTCTCAAGGTTTTGAGTAATACTGAACCTTGTAAATTGTTGTTTAATTAATTTAGTTATATTTTATGTCTTAATTACAATTTCTTGTTCTCAGCCGGATATCACGGCACCAGGAGTTAGTATCATAGCCGCATATACTGGAGCGGTTGGACCGACAGGCCAAGACTTTGACAAGCGACGTGTGCCCTTCAATTCTATTTCGGGTACTTCAATGTCTTTCCCACACGTTGCTGGGGTCGTCAGCCTTTTGAAGAAGCTCTACCCAAAATGGAGCCCGGCTGCCATTAAGTCTGCCATCATGACCACTGGTGATTTTACTTAAGTCATCAATCATCAGTGCACAAACATGGATGCATATGATATGAATAATTCGAAATAAATCACAAGGATAATCATTTATTGTGTATCATGTTTCTTTTTTTATTTTTATTTTTTAATTTGTTTATTTCAGCAAGTACAATCGACAACACTTGGAACCCAATCACCAATAACAGCAACGCGAAAGCTACGCCGTTCAATTACGGAGGAGGACACATTGATCCGAACCGGGTAATGGACCCTGGACTCATTTACGATTTACAAACAACAGATTACCTCAACTTGTTATGTGCACTCGGTTATAATCAAACGCAGATTAAGTTGTTCTGGAAAAAATCAATTACTTGTCGCAAGCCGAATATTAGACTCATCGACTTCAACTACCCCTCGCTCACAGTTCCCTTCTTCAATGGCCCAGTCACCGTGACAAGGAAGGTAAAAAATGTAGGTGCACCGGGCACTTACAAAGCCTCTGTTTGTAGCCCAGATGGAATATCATAAAAAGTCGAGCCGGATGAGCTGGAATTTAATTTTGTTGGGGAGGAGAAAGGATTCAACATTACATTACAGCCTAAAAAATATGGTGGTAGCAAAGATTATGTATTTGGGGAGCTGACATGGTCTGACGGTCATCATAAGGTGACGAGTCAAATTGTTGTTAAGCAGATATAGAAGAAAATCAGCTTTTCTGGAGTTTGGAGTCCACACAAGGCGTGTTCTCAAACATGTCAATTGACTATCTCATTCTATCTATTAGATTTTCTTTTTCTTTTTTCATTTTCATATCACGAATGGTAGCGTCTACAAAAGCAGAAAAAGTGTTGGCGCGCTGAATGTTTTTCCTTTTCAAAATAATTTAATACTACATATTAGTCATTTTCAATACCATCTTATTTGTTCGAACGAACGAATACACTGTGTCGGGTGTTGATATGCATGTAGATTAAAATTTGGGGGAGTAAAAATGCGTTTTTACAAATAATCTCAGTTAATAAAATTTGCAGAAGCTAATCGAAAATGAACTATCAAGATAGCATCCCACTCTCTCTTATCAGAATTCTTTCATTAAATAAGTCTATGATTCAAGAGTTCCGTAAAAAGCATAAAATTTTAAATTGTTATATGCTGCTGGAGTTATGCCAGTTATTTTAATCCAAAAACCAAAACATTTTAAATTGTTATATGCTGGAATTATGCTAGTTATTTTAATCCAAATTAGGCCTATTAGGTCCATGTATAAAGCTTTTGGTTTGAATTTGAGGCATACAAGTTTGCCTGTGTTGTGAATTGTGATATATTTGGTTTAATATAAAATAGTATGATTTGCTCTGCGTTTGGCTTTACGGACTGATTCTACTTTGTAAATTCTAAATTTTCATTAGCCCTGGTAATTTATTGTTTTTTTTTTTCATTTCCTTAAACTTTTCCAAATATAATTTGAATATTTTTGTGCCATTCCATTTTAGTTATTCCTCAAACTTCTTGAGATTAAGCTCTAGTTTGTTTAGTCTGACTTTAAAATTTCAAGTGAAAATTGCTTGAGCTTTGAATCATTTTTTTGCCTTTTAGTCTGACTTAGCTCTGTAGAGGGGGGAAGTTGTAGAGACCTTTCCATACTTTGTATCTGGAGTCCTTCATTTAATTTCCTCTGCAGTGCTGGGCTTTGGTGGTATTTATCATGCACTTCTGGGACCCGAGGCGCTGGAAGGATCTTTTCCGTTCTTCGGTTTATGTATGGAAAGATAGAAATAAAATTACCACAATTTTGGTTCCTGACTCAAGTTTCATTTGTATGAAGTTTTTCTTTTTTTCTTTCGGTCAAAAGAAACGTGAATACTTCTTTGAATTTGAAAGGTTAAATTGGTTGCGTGAAAGAAGAAAAACTCAAAGTTGAAATAGTCAAGACAGGGTTCTTTTATCCCCTTTCACTTTTCATGATAAATTGGATAAACTCATAAAAAATAAAACAAAAATAGCATTGAAGTCGATTTTTATTGATCAATGTGAATTGTCTCCTAGGGTCTATAATTTCCTCAAAAGGTCCAATATCTATACATTATTCGACCTTTGTTTTTCTTCTACGCGAATACAATATTGAGATTTTTTGTGCGCTAATCCTGCTCCTAAACTTGCTATTGTTGTCCATTCTGCTTCCTTTCTTTACTGTGCTTTTGCTCCTACCCTGTCAGCCAAGGTCTTTATTAGGTTTTTTTTTAACACCACCCCAGTAGGGTCGGGGTTAAGGCCGAAACCCAAACCTGTATATAAAATGCCCTAAATGGGCCGAAAAGTCACAAAACTACAAGTCCAATATCTGATATACATCCAGTCAAACAAAAAATCAAAAAAAATAACAAAGAAAAGAAGAAATACATTTATGTTGAAAAAAAATAAAAAATCCATATATAAATACTATGTTAACTGTAGATTTTATGGGGCAAAGTTGAAAAAAAAATAAAAAATTTTTGAAAGAAAATTACATTTATCCTCTTTGAAACTTTGAAGATTTCACAAGCGCAAAAAAATCCATATATAAATACTATGTTAACTGTAGACTTTATGGGCCAAAGTTGAAAGAAAAAATAAAAAATCTTTGAAAGAAAATTACATTTATTCTCTTTGAAATTTGAAGATTTCACAAGCGCACACATATTTTTGTGCAATTTTTCCCTTTCTCGTGTTGTTTTATTTGTTCATACCTTAGGATGGATATCATTTAATCATCACATAAGAAAACAGAGGTTGAAATCAATGCCCTGCAGCTGGTTATTTTCCATACTCGTATTGATTAATAATTATAACTTGAGATACCTTTCAATTACATTTGAAAACATAGTTGAAATCAATGTATGAGGCTGCTTTTTTTTCCATTAGCGTGATGATTAATAATTATCACCTAGGGATACTCTTTGATCACATAGGAAACAGAAAAATTGACATCAAAGTCTTGAGACTGCTCTTTTCATGCATGTAAAATATATTAATCCTTAGAATTCATATATAAATAACCACAAGTCACAAATCTCTGATATTCAAGGAGATTATGATGCTCTAGGATCATGATTGCTTGAAGATATTAAGATCAGCACAAAATCTTCTCAAAACTCTATTTCGATCTTGCTTTTGACACAACTTAATTTACACGATAAACGCGTAAACTACACCATTGTAAGAAAAGTGGAAGCCTATAACTTCAACTAAAAAGACCTGAAAGTTAAGGAGCCATGAAAGCTAGTACTCATATTCCCGCTCTTTATCTTCGCTCGCTTGTTTTGGTACTCTTGATCGGCCACGTATTTTCCGTCAAGAAGGTAAACATATCTGAAGCCTCACTGAAACCAATTTATTTTGATCAACAATTTTTTTATACGTTTTACAAACTGATGTTATTTTCCTTGATGTTAGTTTACCAATGCATATCTGCAGCCTAGCTCAGCCTAATTTTCCTTGATGTTATTTCTTTTAATTTTTCTTGGTCCCGTTGTATAGTCATATGTGGTGTACTTGGGAGGTCATTCACATGGAAAAGAAGCCACACAAGCTGATTATGATAGAGTCACCCAGTCTCATTATGACTTTCTAGGGTCATTCTTGGGCAGGTACGTAAGTGAAGTTTGTGCAGAAATCATGAAGATAAAAATGGAGTTTTGTAGTTCAAATTTCTCATTTTCTTGATGAAAAAATTGATCCATTACTATATTCATTCTTTTTGTACAGTAGAGACAAGGCCAAAGCTGCCATTTTTTACTCTTACACTCGACACATCAATGGATTTGCTGCAACTCTCGAAGAAAATGAAGCACTTCAAATATCCAGTGAGTGGTTTTATCTAATCACATTTTTTTTAACAGACTTGGTTCTATTAACTATGTTCAATGTCTCACATGAACATTCTCAGATCATCCAAACGTTATATCCGTATTCTTGAATAGAGGAAGAAAGTTACAAACCACGAGGTCGTGGAGTTTTCTCGGTCTCGAAAACGACGACGGAGAAATTCCTGCCTACTCTTTATGGAATAAGTCCAGATTGGGTGAAGATGTCATCATCGCCAATCTTGACTCGGGTTTGTTTTCTTATAACCTCTCCAAAGTATCATTTACACTTTGATATGCATATGCTTATTATTTCTGTGTTATATGCAAGGGACTACATTTGCATATATATGATCATAAGTATTGTTTGTTTGAACCAGGCGTGTGGCCAGAATCGAAAAGCTTTAGCGACGAAGGAATAAATGGTCCGATTCCATCAAAGTGGAAAGGAATATGCCAAAATCTATTTGATCACAGCTTTCAATGCAACAGGTTGTGTGTGTGTGTGTATATATATATATCATTTTATTTCATTTCTCTCACCTTCAAAGGCTCACCATAGAGAAGCTTATAGGAAAAATAAAAGATGGACAGAGGCCTATGAGAACACATTACTCTTGAAACAAATTTATTCAAGCATATATATGTGTGTTGATTTTTCGATGCATGAAGGAAATTGATCGGTGCCCGCTACTTCTACAAGGGGTACGTCGCGCACGGGGGACACCTCAACTCAAGCGACTACACGCCGCGCGACTATGACGGCCATGGGACCCACACCCTGTCGACAGCTGGCGGCAACTTTGTTCCTGGGGCCAACATCTTCGGCTACGGCAACGGAACCGCCAAGGGTGGGTCCCCCATGGCCCGCGTGGCAGCCTACAAGGTCTGCTGGCCCATCATCGATGATGGAGATTGCTTTGATGCTGACATCTTGGCGGGCTTCGACATGGCCATCAGCGATGGGGTCGACGTGCTCTCAGTCTCCCTAGCTGGAGATGGCAGTATCGAGTATTTTATGGATGCCACAATCATCGGGTCGTTTCACGCGGTGAGTAAAGGGATTGTGGTCGTCTTCTCGGGTGGAAATGCGGGGCCGTTCCCTGCTACGGTGTTGAATGTTGCGCCTTGGAAGATCACGGTTGGCGCAAGCACCATTGATCGGAAATTTTCTAGCTATTTAAAGATAGGGCACAAGACTTACGAGGTAATTATATATGTATCTTCCGATTCTCCCTTTCATGTTTATTATTCAGTGAAAATTTATTTAAAGGAGTAGTTGATGCGCAGGGACAAAGCCTTTCAAAAAAATCGCTTCCACCGCGAAAGTTGTTCCCAATAATTTATGCGAGATATGCGAATGCCGCCAACGCAACAGCGGAACAAGCGTAAGGCCCCTCAATTATAAAAAATAAAAAGGAATATATTCTCCAAGTTCCCCTGTGTTCCTATCGTTTTTCCTTGAGGAACATGATTTTACTTGAACTAAATTTAAAAAGGTTAAAATATGAATGAAATATACTTATGGGATAAAGTTCAGGGAGTTGTGCAAACCTGATTCTCTGGATGCTAAAAAGGTGAAAGGGAAGATCTTGGTTTGTCTAAGGGGAATCACTGACAGGGTCGACAAGGGCTGGCAAGCCGCCTTAGCTGGTGCTGTGGGAATGGTTTTAGCAAACAATGAGGCCTCTGGGAATGAGATCATAGCAGATGCTCATTTCTTGCCAGCTACGCATATCAATTACACAGATGGACTTGCTCTCTTATCTCAAATGAATAAAACAAGGTGAACAAATCACACATAGGTATCTTACACCACCTGCTTCTGTAAAATGACTGTTGTTGATCATGGCAAGCAGGTCTCCCATGGCTCGTATCACCAAAACAACAACTCTTTTGGACACAAAGCCAGCGCCAGAAATGGCGGGTTTTTCATCGCTAGGGCCAAATCCCGTTATGCCGGAAATTCTCAAGGTTTTGAGTAATACTGAATTCTTGTTTAATTAATTTAGTTATATTTTATGTCTTAATTACAGTTTTCTTGTTCTCAGCCGGATATCACGGCACCAGGAGTTAGCATCATAGCAGCTTTCTCCAAAGTAAGTGGACCGACAGGTGAAGACTATGACACGCGACATGTGAAGTTCAATGCCGAATCAGGCACCTCAATGTCCTGCCCACACGTTGCTGGGGTCGTCGGCCTCTTGAAGAAGCTCTACCCAAAATGGAGCCCGTCTGCCATTAAGTCCGCTATCATGACCACTGGTGATTACCTACATCAAATCACGAATTATAAACGATGCACAAACATGAACGCCTTTGAATAATTCAAAAGAAATCACAAAGATAATCATTTGCTCTGTAACATTTTCTTTATTTGTTTATTTCAGCAAGGACACTCGACAACACTTGGCACCCAATCTCCAACAACAGCCACTCGAAAGCTACACCGTTCAATTATGGAGGGGGACACATTGATCCAAATCGGGCAATGGACCCTGGACTAGTTTATGATTTACGAATAACTGATTACCTCAACTTGTTATGCACATTCGGTTTTAACCAAACGCAGATTAAGTTGTTATGGGATAAAGCATACGCTTGTCCCAAGCAGAACATTAGTCTTGTAGACTTCAACTACCCCTCGATCACAGTTCCCAACCTCAAGGGCTCAGTTATTATGACTAGGAAGGTAAAAAATGTAGGTTCTCCGGGTACTTACAAAGCCTTTGTTCAGAGCCCACCTGGAATATCAGTACAAATCGAGCCGGATGAGTTGGAATTTAAGTCAGTTGGGGAGGAGAAAGGATTTAACATCAAAATACAGCCTAAAAAACATGGTTGTAGGAAAGATTATGTATTTGGGAAGCTGACATGGTCTGACGGTCAGCATAACGTGACGAGTCCGATTGTTGTTAAACAAATATAGAAGAAACACAACATTTCTGGAGATGAAGTCTATCTATTAGATTTTCCTTTTTTTTCTTTTTCTTTTTATGTTGGATGAATGAATATGTCATGTGCACGAGGTTGCATCTAACAAAGCAAAAAAAATTATTATCACGTTGAATGTTTGATTTTGTTTTACTACTCGGACGATGTAACAAAGTCAATAAATAATTTAATATTATGCATTAATCATTTTCAATATCATCTCGAACGAACGAATATAGTGTTTTGGGTCCTAATAATGTATGTAAATTGAAATTTTAGTGGATCAAAAAATGCCAAACAACGTAAGTTCATAAACTTCTTAGAAGCCAATAATCGAAAATGAACTATCAGGACAGCATCACACACTCTCTCATAACTCTTTCGTTTGGGCGAATCGTACAAACAGAAATTCCTAGAGAGGACTCTCTTTATTCATAACCTATGTTCTACTCTACCTACTCAATTATTTTTCTGGCCAAGGCTTGAACCTAGGCTGCATAGACGAATCCTTCGAATAGTGAAAGATACTCATCCCAAGCATAAAAATTTAAGAAAAATGCTACATGTACATAATAAATGTACATAGAGGTGTACATAATACTCAGACAGAGTGGGGTCCACTTGATTTTTTATTTTTAGTATGTCCCGCTCAATGTGAGTGTTATGTATACCCTTATGTACAATATTATGTACATATAGCATTACCCAAAATTTAATTAAAAAGTAAATTATATCAAATTCTGAGTGATGAACTAACTCTGAAATTTGAACACTGATAAAACGAAAACTAAACTCAACTCAAGAGAGGTCTAGACAATCCTCACAATGTCCAAAAGTTCTCTCGTCTATGTCTCTTAGAAAAGTGAAAAATGTTTTGTCTATATACAAATTCCCAAAAAAGGTATGTCGGTTCAGAATTGGTTTCCAAATCTTCAAGACCATCAATTCATCTACGGAAACCGATCTTCTTAAGTTAGACAACTTCATGCACACGTCCAGGTAGCTTAGCACATTCCCTCTTAGGTAAGAAACCATCCATATTTCTTACTGTTAGTATCGGTGAGGATCTCGTTATGTATAAGTTACAAATTCAATAGCAACAATATACCTACACTCAGCGGATCTAGAGGTTTAGAGTTGAACACTTATGGAGTAAAATTTGCAGACCCTGAGTCGTTGTAGATTTCCTCTAGATCATCTAAACTCAATATATGTTGGCCTGGCGAATTCTTCTAGTCGGACTCGAGAAGCTCGTCGGGAGCCTTGGTCTGGAGCAACGTGTCTGCATCGCGGGGCCGCCGGAGTGTGCGGGGATGTCGCGGGGCTGTGGCGGTGCAGGGCTATGCATGGAGGTCGGTCACCGGGGCACACGAGATTGTCGCGGGCTGCAGGCGAGCTGCGGTGTCGGGCTGTAGCTCGCGGTGGTCGTCGACGGTGGATGGCCGGCGGTCACGGGGTTGATCGTTAGTCGATGATCACGAGGTATTGGTACCTCTGGATCTTCTATTGTATGTCTCGAACATCTTCTTCGAATTGTATCGGTGGAGCAACAAGACGAAGACAAAGCTCAATAATGGGAACTAGAGAGAGGGGGGCCGCCGATCGTGTTGCAGAATTAGGTCTCTATCTGTTCTCTCTTCTCAGTCCCATGAGCTTAATGATGTATTTATAGAGTTATAGTAGGGAACCTAAAGAGGTGATGATTTGGGCTCCTTAAGCATTGGGCCTAATTGTGAGCCAAGTTCACTCTTGTCAATTAGTTAAATAATATTTTGGTCCACTAACGTAAACATTATTGAACTCCCTTATCATCCCCGTAATTATATTCGAGACTCCATTTATAATTACTCGAATTACCTCCCTATGGTTAAAATATAATGTCCACGAATTAATTCGATTACGGATAATCAAGAATTAATTAATACCTTGTAAACCGAAGCTAGCGCCGTTCATCACATTATTATTATGTCGGAACTTAATCCACCTACAGGGTTTAACATAATAATCCTTCATGAACTCACTTCGGGGACATCATCAAACTAACGCACATGGTGAACATACATATTTTAACAGCACATCGTACATACAACACTACTATCCAAAACATTAGGAATATTGATCCACCAGAATGAATCTCAACTTTAGTGAATCAAAGTAATAACTATTGCATGTACATACCTGTTTATATCTTATGGGTTAAGAGATGCAGTAATTAACCGAGAATAAGTTTGTTTACGACGATCAATATAAAACAAACTACTACTCTCTGTGATTCTGTTCAATACATAAATGTACTAGTGCAACTAATCAGTCAAGACCAACTGTACAGTTGATACTACAACCATTCTAATGGTTTGTTCATCTAGGTTGTGAACCAACAATTCTTGTTTCGCAAGTGACTGATAAGATGATCTTCTGTCCACCCGCTAATGAACTATTTTATCTAAGTGCAAAACAACAGAACATAGAACTTGTTTAATCAAACGTGATTCTCTATCAGTTGTTGCTTGAATCAGATTTCGAACAACCTTTCTGGAAAGACACGACCCGAGGTCGAGATTTATCCCCTACTCGGCTAAAAAACTACAAACAAGCAACCGCTATCAAAATACTATTTGTCTTTCAAGGTGGTTTTCAAGGATGACATTGATGTTTTAAATGTCGTATCGTACCGGCCGTTATTACCTGTGGTCTGGCCGGTACGTATCCCCTCTAGATACCATATTGGCCGTAATACCGATTTATACATGTTTCATACCAAAAAATATCAGTTTTACTAGAAAATATCGGTTAAAATACCGGGTATACCGAATTTTAAAAAATATATTTTTTTATTAATTTATTTATATAAATTGAAAGTCCTACACTTAATTTTAATATGTTTATATTGTTATCGGATTTTAATTAATCTTACTATTTACTAAAGTTAGTTTTATACATATTTTTTATTATAATAATAAATTAATTTAATATTATTAAAACCGGTAAAATAAATAGTAAGACCGATTTAACCGGTTGAATTGCCTACCGATGGCTCGTTTGGTATAATTATCAGTATGCTGTTTAAAACACAACTCCACGTACAAGAGATAGTAAAAGCTACTTGTAATACCAAAAAAAAAAATACAAAAAAAGAAAAGGAACAAAAGCAAAACACGAAATTGCCATCATAAAACTTTGCACCCCACTTAAATTCCAAACAATTTCCTCTCTTTAATGTTGCCACCACCTTTTATTTTTTCCCTCTAAGCTCCACACAAACACAACGCAGACGACCACTCTTTTTCCTTACCAGCTGACCCACTAAACATATTTATTTCATTATTTATATCTACACACACTGAATGACACAAAGTCCTTTATTTTGTCAAAGCGTAATCATGTCTTTTTTGGATTGACATGGTTTATCTGTTGTCTTCTCTGTTTTCAAACCCAAACTAAAGGCAGTATTCCTTTTGAATTACCCACCAATAAAAGTAGAAGAAGGAAAAAAAGACAAACTAGGTTGAATTTGAAGGGAGGAAATTAATCATAAACAAGTGTTGCAAACTTGAGGAGAATATGTGTTCAAGAATAATCATGCGTTGTCTACAGTTAATTCACCTGGCTGCTCTTGTACTCTGTTCAGGTGAACCTTACTCCTTCCAAAGTCTTAAATTAACATGCCCTTGTTTATCATCATCATCATATCTTGTCATATATTCTTTTTCTTGGTTTTTTTCCTTTTATTCATAGAAAATTTTGGGTTAAGAAGTTTCAAATGTGTAAATACGGAATATATGTCTCATCTTTCATTATATTAGACTATCATCATTCAAACAGAAGATTCTTGTGCTAGGTAAAATGTTTGATGAATGTCAAAACTTTCTCACTTTGCCCTGTTTCATAAATATTATGAAAATTAATAGTTTCTACTCATATCATGTTTTGTCACACAAAATTGCCCTTAGATCTATCCTAATTGCTTAAAAACTCCAATCATACAATCTTAAAACATCATAACATGATTCTTCATAAAGCATAACATGGTTTGTTCATTTTTCAGAAGTTTCAAGCCTCAAACTAACACCAGAGCCAACTACACTACTACATCCCCATGATCACGAAAACATAAAATCGCACGACTCCGTATTAATTTCCGCTCGGCAAAATGACATAACTACCCCTATCACGACAGTCCCGACAGGCAACCCGTCGACCGAGTTTACGAACCCAATTTCCTCAAATCCCGAGAAGCCGATGGTAACGAACCCTAATAATCCCCAAACTACCCCTTTACAAACGAACAAGCCCCCGATCGAGAGTTGGTGCGTGGCCATGCAATCCATGCCGCTTGCTGCATTGCAAACTGCATTGGACTATGCGTGCGGCCATGGTGGGGCAGACTGCTCGGCCATCCAGCCTGGCGGCCATTGCTATTACCCGAACACGGTCCACGACCACGCGTCTTACGCGTTCAACAGTTATTATCAAAGTAATCCGATTCCGACTAGCTGTAATTTTGGTGGGGCCGCGGTGACCACAAGCACCGATCCAAGTTACGATTCGTGTCAATATCCGTCGACAAGGTGAATAGTGCCGCCGTATTAAATTTTTTTAGTGGTAATATTAGTAAATAGCCAAGTGAAATATAACCAGCTTTTGTGGAAGTATGAATAATAGTCATTTCTAGAATTGATTTTTAGTATTCGAGAAATAATTTCTAGTTCTTTCTCGAACATTTAAAAAATATTTTGAATTGTATAATTAATTCTTGAAAGTCTAGAAATGATTTCTAGAACACACAAACAATATCTTGAACTTTAAAATTGATTTTGAAATTATATAAAAGGTTTCTGGGTGTCAAAAATTTTAGCGGGATTAAGCGTAACTGCATCATTGACAAAATGACTATTATTCATATTTACCACTAAAAGTGGTCATATTTCATCTTTGCAATTGCTACATGGCTATAAAACTAAGTTACTATTAATTTATCGTGTCGTAACTCATTTTCATTAGACTAATTTGCACGCGTATGTCGAAAAATTTTGCAGCACGAGTTCATCTGTACTGAATGTAAGTAGTTCGAGTGGATCTCGGGTTTTTGGAGCCGGTCGACCGAACACCCCTGCTACTTCGGCTGCAGTCGTCCTGAGTTTTGATCCATATTCTCACCATATATTAGCAACTCTGGTTGTTTTAGTAGTCGATCGCATGATATAACTAAGGAATGGTTAGGTTTTTGGTTTGAGTAGCTTCAAGTGGCCGTGCTAGAGGCCTTGATGCCTTTGTGATGTATATGTTGATTTTGCTAAGAAAAAAGCAGAGTAGATGAACTTGAGCTTAATTACTAATTTGTCGCAAACAATGAAAAAATCTGATTGAATTTTTCTTGAATCTTGATCTTTTAGCTCCAACGGTGTTCAAATATATAATCGTGTATAGTTGATTTATGTTGTGGTTTTAGGAGTAATTTTGTAGATAAAACATGAGTTGTTAATAGTGAAACAGCACATATTATTTAAACGGCTGGAGTACTATAACTATACTTTATTCATAGCTAGACCTATACGTGAGTATCATTAAATCAAAATCCAATCTACTTGGGGGTGCCAAAACTATATGCGAAAAAAATGAAAATTAGTCCTACGATATCAAAAGTAGTCTAATTAAAATCTAGTTAGTTAATATTAGTCTCGTAATTTTTATAATTGATCAGTTCGGGGTGGTTTGGACTGAAATATCCGAATTTCGAACAAACTTTCTAGTCAAAACTTGACACGTTCTAACCAAAACTGCCATCAAATTGGTTAACTTTAAGAAAGTATTTTTAATTAACTGAATTTTAATTAAACTATTATTAATACGTCCAATGTTATTGAATTGCTTCTATAATTTTTCCACACACACTGTATGTCCCAATTGTTACGATATTATATGGGATCGTGAAAATATTTAATATATTTATTTATATTTATCATCATGTATAAGTTATAAGATATATAATATAGTATATTAATTAGTATGGTGAAATTGAAAGATTACACAATTAAATTTAATATGATTATTAATTATCACTAATGTAAATTTTATACATAAAAAATTTAAATTATTTTTTAAAAATTGAAAAAAAAAATGAAAAACGAATATAAACGCCTAGACATATCACACAAGTAACTTCACAACCGTGCAATTGTCCCAAGTGTAATTGCCTATCACCTAGGACAATTTTTAGAGTTGAGGATTTTATACTCAAAGACACTTGAGTTTCGTGGCATGAGAAGTGAATTTTTTTTTATTTTGCGAATAAGAAATGCATTAATTGGGATCCAATTGGTAGTGATGGCTTGAATATTATTTATATAAGATAAGATGAAAACGAAATTGGGGCCCATTTATTATGGTAAACTCTACAAGCTTAATACTATATGCTTTCAACTCACGCAACATTGATAATAACCATTATATAACTTCAATAGTGTAATAAAATATTCCAATGAGTCAATGTAAAAGATTATTCGGTGGATATGGTCTTCAAGGAAAATAAAAAATAATAATAAAAATAATAAATATTATTATATTATCTAATTAATTTTAACTACTAATCACTATTAGGCATTTTATTTTATAGTACATCAAGTTTAATCATTATATTCTTATCTTGTATCTATTCACAACCTCAAATATAACTTTAAAAAAAATCACATTTTCATAGTTATTTTCAAGCAAAACAAAAAGATTTCGTAAATTTACTTATATCCAACAACATCCTCATTTTTCATCCTTTTTTCCAACAGTCCACTGGTATCCAACAATACAATTAAGTCTTTATCATCATTTGATCTCGTCGAAGAGCTCGCTTAGGCAGCTCAGGGTACAAGTCGACTTGATTGGAAGATTTAGGGCAAGGGCGGGCCTAGGCTGGGACCCATAAGGGAACAAGCTCCTATGGGATTTAAAAAAAAATAGAACATATATAGTTATATTGTAAAAAATATGTTAGTTTAATTATTAAGAAAATTATTTATTAAACTATTTTTATATCTGAATTTACAAAAGTATAATTGACCTTAAATAAAAAAAATACAACTCTATCTTAGAACGAAATATGACATTAATTCTTAACAATTCTATCTTTGAGCCGACTTCTAATTTCTACTACATGGTGTTGTATCTATTAATAATCTATATTTTACTTTAGTTTAGCCCTCTATTAATATTTAGAAGTCTGAATAATGAAGTGATTTTTAGAGCTTTAATAAAGTTGATATAAAGAACTAAGATATCTAAACTCTTATTATTTTTGAACTATTGTTATTGATTTTGATACATATTGAATTTTAGGCGTTCGTAAAATTATAGTTATAAGTTTAAAGTAGCTAATAAATTATTTTTACCATTTATTTCTTAAATAAAGTGATTTCTGTCTTTTGTGAAGCAATATTATAAACAGAAGCATATGTTGAAAGAAATATCCAATGCGAAAGGAAAAAAAATGTATATATTTGAAAAAGATAAATTTAATAAGATTAGAATATATGTAGTTATGAATGATACAATATATGAGAACAAGCGGAGAATAATAATCATTTTTATTTTTTTTGCACATTGTAAAGGTTCCATTTGTGCCCCTCAGTCTTGCGAGTCTGCATCCGCCCTTGACCTAGAGGCCTGGCTCCTCCAAGAGCTCCAACAGAGAGGACGTTACGACCTGAAGGTTGTATAACAATATAAGTAAATATCGGGCTTTTGACTTAGTAAGTGACCATGGCAGCGGGATCGTGAGGTCGCTAGGACAATTTGGAGACCCAAGAGTTGTATGGTAAGAGATGGCAGAATTCTATTGAGGATGGAAAGTATATCTTGCTAAAGAGTTTGAGATTTAAGAGTCGTGTTAAGCTATGAAAGAATATATGGCAAGATCTATTTTCTAAAAAGGACTCTACTTGGGTAACAAGACACCACAGGTATATAAGGAGTAACTAGGTTATACTTTTACATAACGCATTGTTATGCCTTTTGCATATAATTTCTTATATTCTCACGAGCAAGTATTGACTTGAGCGTTGGAGGCTTTTGCAGGTCATCAGAGCTCGAAACGAAGGTTTGTGGTGGTGCCGGTTTAATCCGATCCGGGAGCAAGATCTTGTATTGGCTTGTGCACCAACTGAACTTATCGATGGCCTTAAATAGAGATGTTTCTAAAAAAAATCATGCCACGAAAATTTTAATACAATTTCGAGCCATTTGCTAACATGGCCAAAATCGTCTCTGGCCAAGAGTTGGTCGGCCCTGAACTGACCCGAACATATGCACGGATCAGTTCGGTGAATCCCCGGTTTCGGTCCGGCTCGATTCACTAAAAAATAAATAAAATAATAATAATAATAATAAATTAAAAAAAAAAAAAGAACCGAACCACCGGTTCCAATTCTCATTCGAAACCGGCCTGGGCGGTTTAAAAAGTATATATATGTGGCGCAGAACCAGTTCGGTCAAGGGTTCGGTTAAGGCCCGTTTGACCACGGGACGGTTCGAGCCGAACAGTCATAAATAAGATTTTTTTTTGCAAAAGAATCATCTGATCTGAAAATAGTGATAGAAAAGTGGAAAAAAAAGGAAGAGAAAAAAAATGAGATAAATTTAAAATTGTAAAAATGATTATAAGATCAAAATGACTACTGTCCATGACCACTCCTTACATAGGGAAAAAAAATCACACATTTCATACGTAAGGTATAACACTTTGTATTTTTTTCAGATTTCAAATAACATTTTAAAATTTTGAAATTTGAGACATATTATGATTTTTTGATTTAAGATGAACTCTTTAAGTTTGGAGATGAGATTTGTATTGAGACGTATGTGGTTTTTTTCTTTTGAAATCCAAGAAAAATCTTAACAAGTCCTAGCAAATCCTACTCTTAAATACCTCATAATTTTGTAATACTTTTTAAAATCTCAAATAAATACCTGAGACTTTTTAAAGTCTTAACAAGTCTAAATTACATACATCAAAATTTCTGAAGTCTTAAATAGTTTTTAAAAATCTCAAACAAATACACCCCCAAATTGAACAATCAAGGAGGACAAAAGAAAAAAGATCATAGGATTCACCATTGATGTCATAAAATCCAGGATTTAAAGATCTTACAATGAAAGGGAGATTCAAGGACCATCTATACACTTGCAGGACATAACCCATCTATACAACATTTCCCTTCCTCAGCCCAGCTCTAAAGAAACTCCTATACATTTGCTGGTATTAAACTTCGCGACACAAAACAAAGCCCCAACAAAATGAAAATTCGAAAGAGAAGAGAACATAAATGTTCGCTCTTCGCCTTTGCTTTGTTGTTCAACTGTTGATATCAGCCGCTTTACGTGTCATAAACACAGACAAAACAGCATTCACCGGTCACCAATTACTTCCTCCACGAACACGAATGGCCATCACAAAAAGTTAGACACTGCCAAGTAGAAGAATAACGATACAGGAAATCCAGATTCCCTACTATTTTATTATATTATATACACCAAAATATACATATATATCAGCACAAACAATTGCCATATAGCTTCTCGTCTGGTTCACCAGTTGGGCTGTCGAGAGAATCTCCTGCGTAGGATCCATCTGGCTGGCGGATAAATATGTTCAGATTTCCAGACGAGAAAGGCTCCTGGTTTTTTCGAAAATGAGCTCATATCAGTTGCCATAACATCTATTACGGCATATAATAGCTATAATAATAATAAAAAAAAAATGCAATATATACAGCCATATGGATAACGGGAGAGAAGGGAAAAAAAAGGCAAAAATACATTTTTAGTCCTGCTGTAAAGCCATAGCAATTTTACTAGAATTGCAACATAATTTTAAACTATATAACTTAAATTGCAAATAAAAAATCTATAAATTTGGGAATTTGTTGCAATTTCGGTCCTCAATTGCATCAAAATATCAAATCAAATGACCAAAAAGCAAAATGTTAGAATCTTGGGACAAATATTGCTATGGCGTTAAACCAACAGGACAAAACATGTAATTTAGCCAAAAAAAAATGGAAAAAATATCACTTATACAAATTATCATAGATTTGGATCTATACATGCACAGTAAAAATTATCACAAGCTTGCAAGAGTTCATATTAAGAACTCGTTTTGTGAGGGGAAGAAAATTATATTACGAACAAAATAAAAGCCTTGACATACCAGATCACCAGTCCCTTGGCCCTCGGACTGAAATACAATTGGTCGGCATCGCTTGTCTTCATTCATTAAACTCGAGTTCTGAAAGTGGGACACAAGAGCAGTCTTTCCCTGAATTCTTGCATATGCCAAAGAAGCAACTTTCTCGCTATTGAATTTTTCCCACTTCTTCCCATTAAATGCCTTCAAAAAAGTAAAAATTGAAGTTAAAATGTGGATTAGAAGAAAATGCATGGAATTTGAGGGGGGGAAATGGTATCAGGCAAAATAAGAAGATTTTGGGAACATTACTAGCCCCGAACAAAATAAGTTAATGAAATGTACCTCATAAAAGGTGATGATGTGAGCAGGTGACACCATGTTGATAAAGGCATACCCAACATTGCATTTATTCTGGAAAAAAGACAGAAACAAATATGATTCAGATTCAAACTCAAGAACGAGTGCAGGAAAGTTCATTTAACAGAACACGTAACTTACCTTAAAGTCTATCGGTAAATACAGAAAATCATACGTTCCCTTGTGTGTTTCATCAATAGCTAAAAGCAGCATCTTAGAAGTGTACCTTCAGACAAGGGAAAGAAGGTAAAAGGACAAAGCAACCGGTAGTTCTAACTTCTAAGTACAAACAACCACCAACAGTACCAAACTGCAAAAAAAAAAGAAAAAAAAAAGAAAGAAAAAGAAATGCAAAGAAACATTTACTATTCTTACTTATTCGGGATGTTTTTAATCATCAAAGTAGTCCTAATATCTTCCCCATTCGCAATCTTCTCCAAATCAAGCTGATACTGCTTCTTATTATCCATCTGATGAACTCCACCATCAATCCTTCTACTTCGACCACGTTCGAGTAACCCATCTCCCATGCTCCCAAACGAGCCATTCCCAAAATACAAAGGCCCGTTTCTCGATATCGACATCATCATACGAGAACCGGGAGAACCACTCTCACCGAAACTGCTCCCGGCAAAAGCAACTCCCAAGTTAGTCAAACCACTACTCTTCCCATTGCTTTGACCGAAATTCGCAACTCCGAAATTCGACTGGTTCATCACGTAAGAAGTTGTTTCGGGCGACTCGGGAAAAAAACCGAAATGTCTTTCGATCTGATGAACACCGGATGGAGATGGAGCGGACCCCACATGATGATGAGAACCAAGAAAAGGTCTTTGCTGACTAGTAGTGTAAGGAAAGCCGATTAATCGAGGTCTTCTAGATGTAAAAGGTTGATGCCCCTTAAACAAATTAGTTTGGTCTGAAGGAACAACAGAGGGACTGCTGCCCCACAGAAACTGAGGCCCGGAAAGTGTTCCAACGCTCGACGGCTTTGAATCGCTAAACGACGAGACTTGTCCGGGGCTTGAGCTCAAAGTGGTATTAGGAACAGAAAAGTGGGATAGCCCGTGATTTCTATTTGACATATTTGCTCTTGTGGGATCTTTGCCAATAGGAGCGATTTTCACGGGACTCGATATGTGAGAAGGAAGAATAGAGGCTAAACCTGGCAAGTTATTGCTTCTTACGGGGCTGAGTTCTCCTAAATTGGTGGGCGTCTGACCGTAACCGTGCAAGGAGTTGTTCTGCTCGACTGGACTGCCGAAATTATGCCAGCTACCTGGGAAAAAGTTGTGTTTTTTTTTTAAGTTTTGATATGACATGAGATTTTTTTTTTTTTTTTTTTTTTTTTTGTTATGGGCATAGTTAAACCAGAGTTTAGGTAAAAATGGCAGACCATCGATTAGGATGCCAGGAGGGGAATTGGCAATGGGGGAACCGACTTGAAGGCGAAGGGTTCGTGCTTCATCGGGATCTTGCTCCTGACTCAATTGCAGCATCAAGCTGTGCATGGAATAAAACACATTGACAATTATTGAAGTATTGGCCGTCAAGTTCATTCGTAACAGAATCATGTACCAAACAAAGGTTGAAACTAAACGTGAAGTAATAAGACGAGAAAAGATTCTACATATATATAATTGTAGGCTATCCAATTAATACAAATCATACAATTTTCCCGCTCATTTTTTTCAACTAATGTAGAAGAAAACCGTTACATTTTACATTAATGAAGTGTAATAATAATTTTAAACTAATTTATTATTTATTAGTTACTACTAATGCTATTCAGTCATAAATTTACATTAATATTATGTGAAAGTTAAATACTTATAAATAATTCAATTGCAATTTTTTTTGTTTAAGATAGTTATTCGACAATAAATATTATCTTTTAGTCTTATTAAGCAATTTTTCTCTAATATTAGTTTATTGGTTTGAGTGGCATAATTAAACTTCTTAAAATCCCATAAACAATTGCTATATAATAATAAAAATAATTGTAATACTTTTCTAACTAATTAATTGGATGGGTCTCTGTAAATTACAAAATTGCACTATCTATTACATTTTATGTTATCAATATAACGATTCATATGGAAGTTAAATAGTTTGTATTTATATTGTACATCAAAATTTTAAAATGTCATGCACGCTTTATCTTATTTAAAATTTAAAATATTATATGCATACATATAATATATAAACTTTTGTTTGCCTCTGTGCGCATATCGAATACTAGTATAAAAGAATCATTTGATGAAGAATACAGAATTTGCAGTTTTCAAGTGACTAATTTTTGCAAAGGAACCAAAACTTCCACACTTTCTTCCTTCGAGACATATTTAGAATTACACGGTATGCAAAAACCTGAGATAACATGAGCAATGTGCACAGCTAAAAGCATAAATACCAGTAATAAACATGTGTAATAATTGCACACGGATATAGAAAAATGAAGATTCTACAAAGTAACCAAGATGCAATCTGCTTTAAATGAACAAGAATCAGAGTTTACCTCCGGCGGGCCCCGCCTGGCCGGCTAGGTTCAAGCTTTATGCGCTTCCCGGCTATATCGCTTTTATTTAAAGCCTTGAGAGCTGCCTCTGCAGCTCTAACATCATAAAACTCGATGAACTTATGGTGCCGTTTATGCGGTGTTTCCCTTATCTATATTTAACAACACAATACCAAAAAAGGGAATCAATTACCAACAGAAATAAAATAAAAAAAATATACATATAACAGACAGATCTTTGACATGACAAAAGGAAATCTTCACCTCCTTAATTTCCCCATAAGTTCCAAATATTTGGCGAAGATCGTCATTAGATACTGAAGCGTCCAAATTGAAGACCACCAAAGTTCCTTGATTAATATCCTTTTCGGATGGATTGTCCTGCATGTAGTAAAGAGCAGGCAGTTGTTTAAAGAGGTCATTCATTATGAGGTGTGATAAAAAATGGAAAGTTATCAGGGTTTAAAAACCTTCGGAATTGAGAAATGAATATCAAGCTTCCTTCTTCTCAAGGGCTTATTTTGCAATGCCCGCATGGCAGTTCGAGCAGCACGAATGTCATAGTAAGATATCATCACGAATCCCCTGTGCTTACATGCAGTGTAAAGAGTCCTGATATCTCCATATTGCTATTAGAAATGAGTAGATAGAAAAATTTAGAGTTAGGATTAGTGATTTAAAATATGTTGTGAAAAATTAAATATGTAAAGGCTGAATGAGCTTTAAAATATATATGGAACCATAAAACTATGAGATAGGGCATGATCATAATGTTTCCCAGATAACAATCAGGGGTAATCACTCATCAAACTTCTGGTTAGATAATTCGATTAAATTGAGAACTCAAGTGCAGATATGAGAAATATCACAGCTGCATAAGAATCTTCAATACATAAACGAAAGTTGAAATTACTAGAATCTGCTACTCCAGAAGAGTCTTGTCACATCTAGAGTTCTTATCAAGAAGGAAAAAAGGAAACATGTGAGAATATCATCCCAAAGAGAACCAAAGGGAACCCAACCCTTTTTTTGTGTCTAGTCGAGTCATTGTTTTGAAGTACATACAAAAGAAGGCAAAACGCCATAATGAATCAGGAAGTGTATGTGAATCTAGAACAACTATTAGGGTCACACGCATAATTTTCTGAGAGGAGCTGTAATATCATGTGTTTATACATTTCGATCATGTACTTTACGTGATATGCACAGATATGCCGTAATAAATGATTTAAAGCTCGATAAATAATCTACAGTATAATATAAAATATCTCCTTAATAACTGATTAACTATGCATCTTTAATGAATAAAATGCTAATATCGAGTATAGGAATAAAAATTTGAAAATAAGCATTAATGTACCCGAGTAAGAAAATGCACTTCATCAGGGGGACATAAACAAATGCCCCAATTTGAGAGAGTTGTAAGGATTAACAAGTTTTATATTTTCAACATGTCATGTTCCATTATAATAATAATCCAAATAATTTCCTCTGTCAAAGTTATAAATGAAAACAAAACAAAGAAAATAGAAAATGCTTAGAAGGAAAAAGAACGTTTGCAGTATATTTCCTGAGTTATATATGTAATTATGACTACAATACTCTATAGACAAACTCTACAGGCCAATGTCATATAAATACTAATTCTAGACATATTTGTTTCATGGAATTGTACTACAAAAAACAACTCTTGACAAATTGACTAGATTAAGGTTATATGATATAACAAATATTGTTAAGAATTTATTTGATGCACTTTTTTTCATCAATTCCATTGACATAGAAAAACTTCCCATGTGATTGTAAGTCTTGGTTCATCAAAACCTGAGATTACTTTCATTAGTGTACAAGAAACACAATGATTATTTGGACTGGTGCTGACATTTATCAAGAAGCCGATTTGAGGTCTAATCTAAAGTTATATTAAACTTTTCAAGATAAGTAAAATTCATTGTAAATAAATGCCGAAGCCTACAACTAACGAATAATAAAAAGGAAACGAAAAATCATAAAACTAAAATTACTCTACTTTATTCGGCATTTAAATTCAGGTTAACTATAATAGGCTTTTGATGTCCTTGGTGAATCCTCTCATTTCCTGTAAAATTGCTGACTACTAAAAAAAAAAGGGAGGTGTTTACTATCATTAGCAAACGGATGGAGCATTCACCAACCACAGATTTCTCCAATATATTTCTCACTTAAACCAGAACAGTGTTCACTAATAAAAACAATTTCATCAAACATCGCTCAGATGTTTTAATTATAAAATAGACATTTATAGTTGAACGGTTAAACCATTTATTCAATCATATAGTAGGCAGTAACACTGAGTATAATACTATAATCCAATAGAATAGACGTCAAAATTGCATAAAATAATTCTGTCGTAATATGACAGTTCGGGTTGCCATTAATCCGTTTATCTCACAATAAATGCAGATTTCTATAAATGGATTCACCAGAAATTCACAAACTGCAAAACCGGGCATCACAACTTCATAGACCATAAAAGCTTTACTTATTCTTCTCTTCTTAGATCCTTATCACACCTCACAAACATAGTGCAGACACTTCTTTTCCCCATCTATACAGAAACAATCGAAGCATGATCCAAATATGAGATTGTTTAATACATTTTCTACGTTACAGAAATGAAAATCTCCGTCCGTGCACAAAAGAGAAAATTCATAAAAAACATTTCCATCAAAATAAATAATCAAGCAAAAACAAATGAGAGATACAAGCAAAAATCATTCCACGAATGATAATAACAGTAAATAATAAACCTTAGCAGAAAAGATTTGACATCATCGTAATAAGTACCTCGAAAAGAGACCTAAGTTCAGAGTCCTCCACGTTACTGTTGATATTACGAACAAACAGTGTCCTCGAAGGATGCTCCCCATATGGATGTTCGCCGCTTACGGGCCCCACACCATTCATAAAGCCAAAATGAGAAATGCTGCCACCGGCAAAACTGTCGGCAATACTTAACCTCGATAAATCATTGAGTGTATTCTCCCGGCTCTCGGGTTCAATTTCGAGACCCCCACCACTCCCAAAAAAATCATCATCCAAATCCTCGAGCTGAGTTGGCAAGCCACTAAAATCGAAATCGTCCATTAGACCAGCCAAGAGTTCGTTTTCATCGCCTGGGAGAGAGCTTCCTATCGCGTTTGGTTCGAAATCTTCAGCTGGGTCCTTTAATCCAGCTGCTAATCGTAGTTTGCTAAGACTTGGAAAGTTATCGTCAAATAACTGACCACTTTGACTTTGACCGCCATCATTAAAATTAACTGTAAAAAAATGATAAGTCAACTCTAAGAGATCATCGGATATGCACTATAATAATACATGATTTAAATATATTGTAAAATAATTCAGCCAGGAGCTCAGTTAGTTGTGCTCACATTTCTCATGTGAAAGGATAGGCAGTGAAGTAGAAAACAAGCTGGCATCACTTGGTGTATGATGAATATCCACTCTTCTAGGAAGTCCCCATGCAGTTTTTCCCTTATCTGGAGGCTTCATAAAAGGAACTTTAGAAGGGCCTACAGAACAGGGAAACAAAAGTGGAATATTACAGCGAATTGAGATACAACAACAACAACAACATACCCAGTATATTCCCAACAGGTTGGGGTCTGGGGGGTCAGTTGTACGCAGACCTTACCCTCGTAATTATACAAGGAGGCTGTTTCCGTAGCGACCCAAGGTGCATTGCGCCGTTTGATATATTTTTTTTTCTAGAAACTTCACTAATAGAAGAAGCACTAGAATTTAATTGAGTTATTTTGATCTAGTCCATTATTAGCACTATGCCAGGAGAATTGTCAACAATGACTCTTCCAGCTCCATTTGCAATGGACACAATTGAGATAATAAAAGAATTTTTGTTCCTTGAAAGGTTACATAAAAAGAGCAACAATGTATATAAAAAAACTCAATAATGACGTTATAAGTGCTTTTTTCACACGAACCAGGGATGAAATTTTCTGAAGGTTGCTCCATTCAAATCACTTCATGCAGAAAAACAATGAACGCGAATTGAAGCGTGATAGAGTTGGCAAGTCCTGAGTGGAAAAAGATGTTATCAAATTTGAGTGGGATGACAAAAATATGACAAGGGTACAAAACTATCTCGATGGGCAAGAAATTTAATTTGATAAATCAAACAAGTATAGAACAGATCAATGAAAATGAGAAGCAAGAGAGATGCACGTCTTAATTAAGTTCATGAAATTGCTAACTAACCAGACAACTTCAGATGAAGCAATTTTTCTAACAGCAATTGGATACAAAAAGTTTTCATTTTTGTTTGTCCAACCAAGATTTATCTCGTTGAAACTGAAAATAGAAAATACTATAATCTCATTTTTTCTCTAAAAAATCTTATATTCAATCGTGCCCTTATAGCTATTTCAAATAAAGAAAAGAAAAGAAAAGGTCAATGTCAAAGGAAGCTCAATAAGTGCGCACAGAGATAAGGAGCATGGGCACAAAAAGCACACGGAATTGGCCACGGGTTTAACAGCACACAAGACACTGGTAAATCTCATGCATATGAGATAGAGAAAGAAAAAAGGAATGTGAATGAACCAAGCATTTGCCAATGAGAACTTTTTTACAAATGTCAAAAGGAAGAATTTCAAGCACCGCCAGATTAAAAGTAGTGCAAGGAATTTCACCGGAAAACAAGTCATAAATATTCAGCCGACCAATAAAACGAAAAAGAAATAAGAAAAGAAAAGGAAACAGAAAAATGAAATTAAAATGAAGAAAAGAACAGGAAAGGAAAAGGAAAAGGCATACACACATCTCACAGTTTTCTAGCTTTTGGTCAACCCTCCCCAAAATCCCAGAAAATAATACCGATCATTACACATAAAGACCGATAAACTTCTCAAATCACAGGAAACTAGCAAACAATTCATGCAAACCACATGAATAGTAACACTTCAACTCCACGGCATGCAAACATAAGGCAAAGCCGGAAACTAAAACAAGAAAAG